TTTAAGATTTATGATAGATGGAGATGGTGACGTGATGGCGAGGAGAGAAGGTGGACATACTTGTAGACAGATGGGCATGTCAAATACAAAAAGAGAGAAAAAAAAAAATAAAGACACACACACACACACACACACACACACACACACACACACACACACACACACACACACACACACACACACACACACACACACACAGACACACACAGACACACACACACACACACACAGGCAGACAGAGGCACACACACACGCACACACACACAGGCACACACACAGACACACACAGACACACACAGACACACACACACAGACACACACAGGCACACACAGAGAGACACACACACACACAGACACACACAGGCACACACACATATAGACTTCCCCCCTCTCTCCCTCCCTCCATCAGGCTCACTCGTCAATGTCGCCGAGGCCGAGCTTGGCAAAGCAGCCCTGCATCCATGAGCAGGACCTGTCCATGGCCTCTGCATTTGTGAGGGACATGGTGTTGGCCGACGAGATGGATGGATGGATGGATCGCACGGGAACGCAGTGCGTGTGTGTGTGTGTGTGTGTGTTGTGGTCTCAGCCGTGGTTGATGCGAGGAAGGACGGTTGGTTGATGAGTGACCAGCGAGCGGCGAGCGGCGAGCGGCGAGCGGCGAGCAATGCAGTGGCGTGTGGGCGTTGGTCGTGTTTGTGGTCCTGCGTGTGTGTGTTGGGTTGTTTTGCCTCTTGCTCCTCTCTCCTCCCAAAATAACACACACAAGCAACAACAACGAAGATGAGCGCGGGTGTGACGGCGTATGTGGTCATCGTGAGCGTGTACCTGCTCTCGTACCTGCTCTTCGGCTCCATCCCACCCACAGGTCAGCTCAGCGAGCGCACGTGCGTGTGTACGTGTGTATGTGTATGTGTGACTGCATGTCTGTGTCTGTGTTGCTCATCGCGCATGTCGTGCCGATGAGAAGGTGTTCGGTGTGTGCGATGACGACGATCGACAACAGCCATCATGTTTCACTGACATGTGTTGCTGCACCATGACCTTGATGGTGATTGCACGTGCAGGGGTGTTGATTGCAATTGCCGGGGTTGTGGGCGTGTGCGGCGCGAGCTACCTGGGGTTCATGCCGCGCACGGTGTCCAGCTATGCTGCGTGGTTCCTGCGCCTGCCCCAGGACCTCTACTATGACCTGATGTCCAAGCGCCCGTTCAACTTCAACCGGGTGGCCAAGACTGTCGTGGTTGGCCGCGTTCCCCGCACCACGGACGACATTCAAACGCTCATTCAGGTTTGACTGCAGCATTGCCTGTGCTATGTGTATTTGTACGTGTTGTGTATGTATTTGTATGTGTGCTGTGTGTACGTGTTGTGTGTGTTGTGTGTGTGTGTGTGTGTACGTGTTGTGTGTTGTGTGTGTATTGTATGTGCGCGTGTGTGTGTGTGTGTGTGTGTGTGTGTGTGTGTGTGTGTGTGTGTGTGTGTGTGTGTGTTTGTGTCTGTGTGCGTGCACGTGAACTTTCCCTCCTTTGTATCGACCACACACTCACACACTCACACACACACACTCACACGCACACACCTGCGTCTCTCCCCTCTGTTACAGCAAGAGCAAGTGCGGGCTGTGATTGACATGACGGAGCCCTGGGAGCAGCGTGTGGAGACCGATGCCATCACGCGTATGGGCCTGGAGCGCATTAACCTGCCCACCCCAGACTACGGTGCCCCGACATTTGAAGACCTCAACACCGCCATCGACTTTATCCGACGCCACGCCCAACTAAAGTGCGTTGTAATGTGCGTGCGTGTGTGCGTGTGTGTGTATGTATGTGTGTCTGTGTGCGTGTGTGAGCGCATGTGTCTGTGTCTGTCTGCGTGCCTCGCTCTCTCTCCCCCTCTCCCTCACTCTCCCCTCTCCCTCACACACACACACACACACACACACACACACACACACACACACACACACACACACACACACACACACACACACACACACACACACACACACACACACACACACACACACACATCCTCTCTCTCCGTGCGCCTGCAGCAACACGGTGTATGTGCACTGCAACGGGGGCAAAGGGCGTGCGGCCACGGTGGCGGCTGCGTGGCTCATGTACCGGGAGAGCATTGCGCCACAGGACGCCCTCAAGCTGCTGCGCACCAAGCGTAAAGTCACCAAACTCGACCGCCTCGGTGGCATTCTGCCCGTGTGGAAACTCCTCCACCGCTTCCACGCAGCCATCCTCGACTCAAAGGCCAGGCTATGACGCGCCTTTTTCCTTTGGTGTGTGTGTGTGTGTGTGTGTGTGTGTGTGTGTGTGTGTGTGTGTGTGTGTGTGCCTGAGCGCGCTGTACACCTCTCCTCGAATGCGTTCGTCGTATTTGTGGGCTTGTTCGATGGTTTTGACGCTTGCATCTTTGCTTTTGCATCTTCGCTGTTGGTTGTGCAATCTGTATTTCTGGCAACACTACATATATTGTAACGAGTACGAACGAGTCTATCCTCGATCGAGCAGCAAACGGGTCAGCATCCACGCAGACGCGCGCGCACGTAGGAACATGCATTCACATACACATAGCCAATCCACACTCATCAAGCCATACATAATCCATGCCCACACATACACATACATCATGGTCAGCACACACACACACATACACATACATCATGGTCAGCACACACAACACACACACACACACACACATCAAATACACACACACACACACACACACACAAACATCAACAAACACCAAACGCCGCCACGTCAAACCACGGCAAGCATCCACTCGTGAACGGCCGAGTCAGCGTGGTCATCAAGGTGCAGCACACGGCCGCCGTTGTCATCATGATCATCATCATGATCATCGTCATCGTCATCCTCGTCTTCATCACAGGTGCCAATGTAGCTGGTGTTGCAGCTGCTGTCTGGGCTGGCCTCTGCACTGCTGCCGGCCACCAGTGCGTGGTGGTGACACTCCGTCCCCGCGCTGCGCAGTTTCCTCATGCGTCGTCGTCGGCGTCGTCGTCGTGTGCGCCGCTTCTTCCACAGCAGCTTGAGCTCCGTGTACGCAATCAGGCCAGCAGCGGCAATGAGGAAGAACACCCACGTGATGCCCTCGGGCGTGCGCGCGCCAACAAACACTTGTAGGCCCGGCACATACACCAGGATGAGCATGATGCAGACGGCGACGATGGCGCCGTACACCGCCACGATGTTGTTCAGCGGGTTGGTGCGGAAGATGGACACGCGCCCAGACTTGATCACCCACAGGTGCACTGCCTGTCCCAGGATGAGCGTCATGTACCACGCAGCCGTCGCCTGCCCGGCAATCTCCTCCTGCTGCGCGGGCGTGAAGCAGCGGCCGTCCGACAGGCACAGCGGGTCTGGGTTGGCGCGGAAGTGGTTGTCGCCCTTCAGAAACACGTCGCCAAGCGTGAGCCCGTGGGAGGAGAACACGTGCACATATGCGAGGAAGCAGGCAACCATCTCAATGCCGCCGGCAATGAGGTACGAGTACGTGAGCAGCTCCCTGTTGACCATCTTCTTCTTCTTCGAGCGTGGGCGCCGCTTCATGATGCCGGGCTCGGCCGGCTCGTACGCGAGCGAGATGCCAGCCGCCATCTCCGTGCCCAGGTCGATGCTCAGGATCTGCAGCGACGTGAGGCCAATGGGCAGGCCGAGGGCAAGGTTCATGAGGACGGGCACAATCTCGGGCATGAGGTGGGTGAGGAGGTAGCGGATGGTCTTGCGCAGGTTGTCCATGATGAGCCGGCCCTGTTCAACGCCCAGCACAATGGATGCAAAGTTGTCGTCCATCAGGAGGGTGTCGGCCGCCTCCTTTGCCACGGCGTTGCCCTTGATGCCCATCGCAATGCCAATGTCAGCCTGCTTCAGCGCGGGTGCGTCGTTCACGCCGTCGCCAGTCACAGCAACAATCTCCCCAAACCGCTGGCACGCCTCCACAATCGTCAGCTTCTGCTGCGGGGTTGCGCGTGCAAACACGGCGCCGGGCAGCGACAGCACGCGTCGCCAGTGGTCGTCCGTGAACTTGTCGACAGAGTGGCTCATGTACACGCCGGGCTGGAACTCCCCCGGGATGGGGTCCGCTGCAGGGTGGTGGGCGACCGCGTTGAGGTGGTGCTCGTCCTCATCGTCAATATCACCGCCGTTGGTGCTGGTGAGGATGCCAACTTCCCTGGCAATGGCCGCCGCCGTGAGGGCGTGATCGCCAGTCACCATGTACACCTTGATGCCTGCCGTGCGGCACGCAGCCACCGCCCTGTCCACGTTGGGCCGGGGTGGGTCCGCCAGCGCACACAGACCAAGCAGCACGTATCCCTCCAGTGGTGCGTTGTCCTCTGTCAGCTCCGTGTCATCCTCACCATCGTCGTCATCATCATCGTGCGTCATGCGTGGGACGAGGCGCGCACACAGACCAATGACGCGCCAGCTCTTGCCACCAAACCGCTCCAGGGCGGCGGTGAACTCGCGCTCAAAGTCGGCGTTGATGGGGATGACCTCGCCGTTCATCATGTACGAATCACACTTGGACAGCACAATCTCGGGCGCGCCCTTGAGCATCGCAACGTCCATGTCGCTCGTCGCCGTGATGGCGGGCGTCGTCGTGGCAGTGGCGGTCGAGTCCTGCGTGGTGTCAGTCGTAGCACCAGCAGTAGCAGTAGCAGTGGAGCCGCCTGTGTTGCTGCTGCTGCTGTTGTTGTTGTTGTTGTTGTTGTTGTTGTCGTGTGCGAGCACGTTGGCTGCGGCGCGGACACGCGGGTCGGTGGGCCGGCCAATGACCAGCTGCCACTTATTGCGCGAGTTGAAGGGTATCTCGCCCACGATGTCAAACTGCTTGCGGCGCAGGTCCGTGTGGTAGTGCCGGTCTGTGAGCTGCAGCAGGGCGGCGTCTGAGGGATTGCCGATGTACTCGCTCTCGTCAGACACGCTCTTGGTCATCTGGCGCGTGGCGTGGTTGCACACGCACGCAACCGTGCTCAGCCAGTGCAGGGTGGTGGTGTCGTTGTGTGCAGTGGGGAAGGCGGCGGTGAGGTTGTGGCTGCCGAGGTCCGTGTACACAACGCGGTTGCTCCACAGCGCGCGCGCGGACATCCTGTTCTGGGTGATGGTGCCTGTTTTGTCCGAGGCGATGACAGAGGCGGAGCCAAGCGTCTCCACCACGGCCAGCCGCTTGACAAACATGTTGTTGGCTGCCATGCGACGCGCGGTGATGGTGAGGAGGGAGGTGACCGTGGCGGGCAGGCCCTGGGGCACGTTGGCGACAATGACGATGAGGAAGCCGTTGATGAAGATGTAGAGGGCGTTGTCGCCCTTCTGCCGGCCGACGCCAATGGCAAAGAACACCGCAGCCATGCTGATGGCCAGTACCGCCACGAACCGCACAAACGACGTCACCTCCCGCCCGAGCCGCGTGTCTGTGGAGCCAGCGGCTGCTGTTGCCGATGCAATCTTGCCAATCATGGTGTTGTCGCCCGTCCGCACCACCACGGCCGTGGCAGAGCCCTGCAGGCACTGGGAGCCCGAGAAGCCAAGGCAGGTTGCCTCGTGGGCGGCCGTGCCGGGGGTGGCAGCCTCAACCGTGCCGACAATCGGGGTGGACTCGCCCGTGAGGGAGGAGCACTCCACGCGCAGGGCGCTGCAGTGAAGGATGCGAACGTCCGCAGGCACGATGTCGCCCTCCTTGAAGACGATGATGTCGCCGACAACCAGGTGCGCTGCCTCCACCTCCATCTGGGCACCGTCACGCACGACGAGCGCCTTGGGCGGGGAGAGGTCTGCAAACAGCGACATGAGGTTGGATGTCTTGCGTTCCTGCAAGAACGACATGAAGCTGGTGACAAGCACGACCGCAAACAGGATGACGCCGAGCCAGAGGTTGAGCGGCTCCGTGGTGTCGAGGCCGTACGCGACCCAGCTGAGGATGGCGGCGGCAAGCAGCATGAGCATAAACGGGTCCAGCAGCTGCCGCAAGAAGATGACCCACTGCGGCGTGCGCTTGGGCGGCGTGAGGACGTTGGGGCCATCCTCCTCAAGACGGTGCTGCGCCTCCTCTGTGCTCAGGCCCTGGGCACTCTTCAATGCACCGTCCTCGGAAACAACGATGCGGCTCTTGGGGAAGGAGTCTGCCACGTCGCGTATCGACTGCACATGCTCGTTGCCGGCTGTCGCTTGCTCTTCAGCGCCCTTGTTGTTGTGGCTGTTGTGGTTGTTGGTGGTGGTGGCCGGCCCGTGGCCTGCCTCCTCAAGCTTCTTGTGTTTTGTCTGTGGGATGAGGGTTGGATGGTGTGGGAACATGGGGGGGGGTTGCAATGATGCAAAGACGCAAAGATATGGTGGTGAGCAGGACTTCCTCTGTATGTGTATGTGTGTGTGTGTGTGTGTGTGTGTGTGTGTGTGTGTGTGTGTGTGTGTGTGTGTGTGTGTGTGTGTGGGAGGGACACCACGGGCAGGTGACACAGCAACAAGAGGTGCCGTGTCATACAATACATCACAGCAGCAGGTGAGCACACCACTCACGACGCACCTGCAGCGCAGACGTTGCTGCGGGTGGCATGGTGGGGTTGGTGCGTTGAGTCCACGATGATGGGAGAGGCAAGGAAAATGCGTTGTGGTGGCAGAGCGTGAGCACATGAATCAAACGGAGAGATGGGGGAGAGAGAGGGAGAGACAAAGCAAGCGCCGTACATGCGCGCCTTTCTCACACACAAGCACTCAGGCATGTGCAGGGAGGGAGACAACCGCGCATTCATTCTCCCCACACGCATGCTCGCAAAGCATCAGCACCTGTGGCGTGGGAAGAGGACGAGAGCAAACTGGCAGCACATCAGCATGCACGTGGCCGCAACGGCAGTGTGTGTGTGTGTGTGTGTTTATGTGTTTATGTGAGTGTGTGTGTGTGTGTGTGTGTTTATGTGAGTGTGTGTGCGTGTGTGTGATTGTGGTGACAGATGGCGTTCCCAGCGCGCTTAGCACAGCAGCGGCGCTTGCTTTGCAGCCATGATCACCATGATCATTGCTGGATTTTCCGCTTGCACACGCCTGAAGCGTCAGCAGAAGCAGACCGACATGCTGTCATGCTTTAAGCACAACAACGTCATGTCATGTGTGTGTGTGTGTGTGTGCTGATGTGACACACACGCGCCAGGGCGCTGATGCTCACCCACGTCAGTGCATGCCATGTGGGTGCTGACGCTCGCCGCAAACGCGCTTGGTGTGGCGTGGTGGTGGTGTCCGCCAAAAAAAAAAACCAACAACAATGAACGACATCACAAATTATTGAAGTCAGTTGTATTCTCCCATCGAATCAGTTGACACAATACGGACAATCAATTACAGGAAGCGGACTTGTCCGAATTCCGTTGCGTTGGGGCCTGCGCAAAACTTGTGGCTTTTTCGGTTCTTGCTTCACTGCTTGTGCGTTTTTTTGTTTGGGTTGGCTGGATTGATTGCACCAGAGCCAGCCAGCCAGTACAGACCTCGCTCGCTCACTTCACTTACCAACCGCGAACACATTGCCAGGCTTGCTTGCCATCGTGGCCGATCCTGCACTCTGTGACAGCTAAACAAGCACAAGGTGAGCGTGAGGGTCCTCGTGCGGTGGCAGCAGCACAATCTGTCAAGGGAGAGGGAGAGAGGGGAGAGGGAACAAAGCCCTCTCTGTTCTCTCTTCCAGCCGCGGCGCGCGCGAAAACCGTTCGGCATCGCCAATCACCACACTCTCACGACTGTTACTTTTCACATATGTGACAAGTGATCAATCGGGCGTCTTGCACCACACACACACACACGCACACACACACGCACACACACACACGCACACACTGGCTGTTCTTGACTCTCAGCCTGCGTGAGTGCGCGGTCAGTTGGTTGCGCTTGGTGTACGGCAGGTTCATTTTTTCGTACGCTGCTTTCGTTCTCAACACCGCGCCACACACGCGATCACTTCCGACGACCGCTCTCACTTTCCTCGTGCTCTCACCTTCCACGCCTTGCTCTCTCGTGGCCTTGCTTCTTGTTTGGTTGTTTGGCTGGCGTGTGTTCTTGCTCTGCCGCATTTTTCCAGTTCCTTCCCCCGACTCCCCTGCCTGCCACGGCCCATTGTCCTAGCCACACCAAACCGCAGTCCGACCGCCATGTCTGCGCCCCGCTCAAGAAGTGACTCGCGGAGCAAGACGCCGCCGCCCATCGACCTCATCCAGCCGCGCCGCCGCTCCCTCAGCGTCAGCAGCACAGATGAAGAAACAATTGCCCGCCGCAAGCGTGAGCAGTCCATCAAGTTTGACTTCCTCGACGCCCTCGAGGATGTCACGGAGGAGAACATGAAGGCCATTCGTGACCTCTTCAACCGCCACCTCCACTGCACCCTGGCCAAGGATGTCACCGTGGCCACAGACCGCGACTACTACGTCGCGCTCTCCTACACCGTCCGTGACCACGTCATGGTCAGTCAGTGCGTGCGTGCGTGCGTGCGTGTGTGTGTGTGTGTGTGTGTGTGTGTGTGTGTGTGTGTGTGTGTGTGTGTGTGTGTGTTCGGTGGGGTAGTGGGTGAGCAGGGGAGGGCAAGGAGAATACACGTGCTTTTGTTCGCACACACGCACATATATGCAGCATCCAGACCCTCCTTTTTCTGGTTCTGCACGCACTCTTGCCCCTCTTCACCGATGCTCGCTAACGTTTCCTTACTCTCTCCCCTACCACTCTATTCTGTTTCCAATCTCCCTCTCCTTGCCACCACCACCACCACCACCATCGCCACGATGATGGCAGGCTGGGTGGTACAAGACGCAGAAGGAGTATTACCGCAAGGACCCGAAGCGCGTGTACTATCTGTCGATGGAGTTCTACATGGGCCGCTCGCTGACCAACACCATGATCAACCTCGGCCTGCGCTCCCTCTGCAAGAAGAGCCTGTACGAGATGGGCCTCAACATGGAGGATCTCGAGGAAATCGAGGTGCGAGTAGCGGGTTGGCGAGCAACGGGGGTGGGGGTGTATGGACAAGAGACAGTTGTGGTGTAGGTGGTGTAGGTGGGTGGAAGAGAGATCGTTGAGATTGTACCGGCACACACACGCACGCACGCACACACACACACACACACACACACACACACACACACACACACACACACACACACACACACGCACATGCGCACAACAATGCCCCACTGATCACCACCACCTCCCCCTCATCCAACCCCTTAACACCCCCCACCCCTTCTCAACCAGATGGATGCTGGTCTCGGCAACGGTGGACTTGGCCGCCTTGCTGCGTGCTTCCTGGACTCGATGGCCACCCTCTCGCTGCCGGCGTACGGATACGGCCTGCGCTACGAGTACGGCATCTTTGAGCAGAAGATCAAGGACGGGTTCCAGCAGGAGGTGCCGGACGACTGGCTCAAGTTTGGCAACCCCTGGGAGGTGCCGCGCCCCGAGTACATCATCAAGATCAAGTTTGGCGGCGACGTCAAGTGGCTTGACGACGGGAAGTTCAGCTGGGAGGACGCAAACGTTGTGCTCGCTGTGCCATACGACACGCCCATCCCAGGCTACCGCAACAACACCGTCAACACCCTTCGCCTCTGGTGTGCTCGCTCTCCAAACAGGTAAACGCGACGTCATGGGTGATGGCGAATAGGGGGGGGGGGCGTTGCTTGATTGGCGTGCGTGTGTGTGTACGTTGCTGTGTGTGTGTGTGTGTGTGTGTGTGTGTGTGTGTGTGTGCGTGTGTTGCTCGTGTGTGAATGTACGATGCTGTGTGTGTATGTTTGCAGTCGTGCTTGCAAGCACTTGTGTGCGCATGCATGCAACAAAACCTGCGCATTTGCCTCCTCCCGTCACGCCTTCCCCCCTTCCTCCCTCTGCCCACCTCTGCCCTTCTTCAGCTTTGACCTGTCGTACTTCAACCACGGCAACTACATCAAGGCCGTCCTGGACCGCAACGCCGCAGAGAACATCACCCGCGTCCTCTACCCGAACGACAACTTCTTTGAGGGCAAGGAGCTCAGGCTCAAGCAGGTGTGTGTGTGTGCGTGCGTGTGTGTGTGTGTGTGCGCGCGCGTGTGTGTGTGTCCGGTTTGCAGTGCGATTATATTCTTTGCTGTGATTCATCCTGATTTGGTGTCTTCGCTGTCGACAACCTTGACACTGAATCCCCACCCCACTCCCTCTCCTCCAACCATCTCCACACCATGCACCATCGCTTACTCACCACATCCCCCCGGGGTGTATGGCGACAGGAGTACTTCCTCGTCTCTGCGACGCTGCAGGACATTATCCGCCGCTACAAGCACGTGCGCACGAGCGTGCGGACAAAAGGGCCGCTTGAGCGCACAAGCTTCGAGGACTTCCCACGCAAGGTGGGGTGGGGGGGGGGCAAGTGATGGGGACTGAGGGTTGAGCAGTTGTTGATGAGTATTGCTGTTTAATGCCGTTGGCAGTGCAAGTGCGTGTGCGTCTCGTTGATCAGAATGGCATGAGGCACACGCCATCGAATCAGCATGCAAACGCGCGCGCATGTATTCTCATGCACTTGCGTTGTCGCATACACACACACGCATACCTCTCAACCGCGACCACAACCACTACCACTCATACCAACACAACCACCATCACTGTCATCATCACCAGGCGGCGATCCAGCTGAACGACACGCACCCTGCGCTGGCCATCCCCGAGTTGATGCGGCTGCTCATTGACCACGAGAAGCTTGGCTGGGACGAGGCCTGGGACATCTGCACCCGCACCTTCTCCTACACCAACCACACCATCCTGCCCGAGGCCCTCGAGCGCTGGAGCGTCGCCCTGCTCGAGCGCCTCCTGCCCCGCCACCTGGTGCGTGTGTGTGCGTATGTGTGTTGTGTTGTGTGTGTGTGTGTGTGTGTTGTGTGTGTGTGTGTGTGTTGTGTGTGTGTGTGTGTGTGTTGTGTGTGTGTGTGTGTGTTTCTGTCTGTGCCTGCGTTGCATTGACATGAGATGCCCTCTGACCTCGTCTTGCCTTCCGTGCTCATCCCCTCTAACCCTCCTTTCCCCTGCATGCCTCCGCTCCCCACCCTCAAACACCATCCAAACCTGTGCAGATGATCATCTACGAGATTAACCGGCGGCACCTGGATCACGTCATCACGCTGTTCCCCGGCGACCTCGACCGCCGCACCCGCATGTCGCTCATCGAGCACGGCTCGGAGAAGGTCGTCAACATGGCCCACCTCTGCCTCGTCGGCTCACACGCCATCAACGGTGAGGCGAAGGAGGACGAGGAGGGAAGAACATAGAGAGGAGCGTTGGTGAGGTTGTTTGTTGATTGGTTCGTATGTTTACGTGTGCGTGTGCGTTAATTTTGTTGCCATCCTCCCCCAGCAGGCCATTCATCTTTGCATACACCTCACCACCATCACCAACAACAAAACACACACACACACACACACACACACACACACACACACACACACACACACACACACACACACACACACACACACACACACACACACACACACACACACACACACCGCGTTCCAGGTGTCGCTGAGATTCACTCGAACATCCTGAAGCGGGAGACGTTCCGGGACTGGCACGAGCTGTGGCCGGAGAAGTTCCAGAACAAGACCAACGGCATCACCCCGCGCCGCTGGCTGCTGCAGTGCAACCCGCCGCTCTCCAACCTCATCATCGAGCACATTGGCGAGGAGTGGGTGACGGACCTGGACCAGCTCACACGACTCGAGCCCCTCACCGAGGACGAGACATTCGTGCAGGTAAAACCAATGGCGGCGCTAGTGGTGGTGGTGGTGGTGGTGGCAACTCTGTGAATTCGCTGTTGCTTCGGGCGGCAGTATGTTGAGTTGACGACACACATCAGAGAATAGTTGCCCCCCCCCCCACACGCTCACTCCTTCAACATGGTGCTTGCTACAACCCCGCCCCCTCTCTTGTACAGAACTTCATTGCTGCGAAGAAGAAGAACAAGGTGCGGGTTGCAGCAATGCTGCGTCGGGACTACGGTGTTGAGGTCAACCCAAGCTCAATGTTTGACATCCACGTCAAGCGCATCCACGAGTACAAGCGCCAGCTCCTCAACGTCCTCCACATCGTCACCCTCTACAACCGCATCAAGGTGACGCGTGTGTTGTGTTGTTGATGTTGTGTGTATGTGTGTGTGTATTCATGCAAACAACTTGCATTCATCCAATGAAGGCTCCTCACCAACAACCAAACGCCGCCACCACATCTTCATCATCACCACCACGATTAGGACAACCCGCGTGGGGACTTTACTGCGCGGACGGTGATCATTGGCGGAAAGGCGGCGCCCGGGTACTACAACGCCAAGATGATCATCAAGCTCATCACCTCCGTTGCAGATGTCGTCAACACGGATCCAGACGTGTGCGGGCGGCTCAAGGTCATCTTCCTCGAGAACTACCGCGTGTCGCTCGCAGAGAAGATCATCCCGGCGTGCGACCTCTCCCAGCAGATTTCGCTCGCGGGCACGGAGGCGTCGGGGACCGGCAACATGAAGTTTATGATCAACGGAGCCCTGACGATTGGCACGCTGGACGGCGCGAATGTGGAGATGCACGAGCGCGTTGGCGACGACAACATCTACATCTTCGGCATGCGCGTCAACGAGGTCGAGGAGCTCAAGGCCGCAGGGTAAGCCAGGACGGTCGTGTGGGGGATGTGTGTGTATGTATGTGGTTCTGTGTGTGTGTGAGGGAATGTGTGTGTGTGTGTGTGTGTGTGTGTGTGTGTGTGTGTGTGTGAGGGAATGTGGGGGGGATGTGTGCGTTTTTGTGTGTGTCTGTGTGTGTGTGCCTGTCTGTGGTTCTGTGCGTTTCTGTGAAAGTATGCGGGTTTGGTGCTTAAAGACGCCATGCTCGACTCCCGTGCACTCACCTCCCTTGGCGCTCCATCCCCCCCCCCAACCAATTCTCAATTGGATGTTTACAGCACGTACAACCCGCTGGACTACTACAACGCCAATCCCGAGCTGCGGCGGGCCATTGACATGATCCACGGCGGATACTTCTCCCCAGACTCAAAGGGCAGGTGCGCACCCAAGACCACAGGCCGTGCTGCTCTATGCCATACCTCTGTCTCTCTCTCTGTGTGTCTCTCTCTCTGTGTCTCTCTCTCTCTCTGTGTCTCTCTCTCTCTGTGTCTCTCTCTCTCTCTCTCTGTCTGTCTCTCTCTCTCTGTCTC